GGGATGTCTTGACTACCCAGCAGGTCCCTCAGCATCCAGAGCTGACCACCTCAGCTACTCCTCCATCTGGATGAGGTAGCTACTGATGAATCCAGCCGAGGTGTGTAAAGCAGGAGGACCTCTGCTTACCAGCCGTCTCCACTTTCCTGGAGAATATATGGGGAAAAGGAGGAAACCCCAAGCTTTAAAGACGCCTCCATTGTCAATATTTATAAGAACAAGGAGACCAGTAGACTGTGGCACTACCGTGATCTCACTGCTCTCCGAGCTGCCAAGATTATCACCTAGTCCTCCTAAACAGACTTTCCTGAGGCGGAAAACTTCCTCCCAGAATCTCGGATGGTTTTAGACCATCACTATAGCACCACTGACATGATCTTTGCTGCCTGCCAGATACAGGAAAGTGCAGAGAATAGCGTCGACCTGTACATGGCCTTTCGTGACCTAACTAGAGGCTTTCAACTGGGTCAATAGGAAGCCCTCTGGTGGACCCTCAGCAGTTTTGCCTCCCAAAATTCATCGCCATTGTGAGGCAACTCACGATGGCATGAACGGCAATTTTCTGCACAATGGCACCTAGTCTGAGTTCTTCATCCAAACAGGGGTTAAACAAGGGTGTGTACTGGCACCAACTCTCTTTTCCATTTTTCTGTCTGCCCTTACTCGTGCCAGTGCCAATTTAGCCCTGGGAGTGGATATCCAGTACTGATGGAGGATCTTTTCAACATAAGACGACTCCAGGCAGGAACAAAGGTGTCGGCAGCTTCCATTACTAGCTTCAGTATGCAGACGACCACCCTTGTTGCTCACACTGAACACCTCGGCAGACGCATATGCACTACTCGCCTTGAGGTGAATGTATGTGAGACTCAGATTCTCTTTCAGCCTGCCCCTGGTTCAGCCACACCTCCACCATCCATCCAGCCTAACGGTACTACCCTCTAATGTTGCCCACTGTCAGTATCTCGGCCCCACCTGTCCAACCACCGGGGGACATCGATGAAGAGTTTCAGAACGGATCAGATGTGCATCTGAGCTTCTGGCAGACTCCATACTGTGTCTTCAGCTAGGAGCTGAAATTATCTACAAAGTTGCGATGTACATCGAGGCTACCATTATCCATGAACAGCTACACTGGATCATGTTCCGATGACGACAGTAGACTGCCAAAGCAGCTACTTTACAGTCACCTAACGAATAGTAAATGTAACGCTGGCGGGCAACTGAAAAGGTATAAGATAGTCTTAAGACAAACCTGAAAGGTGCCAAATGGACCCTCACCTGGGGAGACGATTACTGCACACTGTAACGCTTGGAGGAGCACCACACGAGGTGTCAATTTATAGCAATCAGTTCGTGCTCGTATGGGCTGGATGTACTAGGCCACGTACAGACAGTATTGGGAATGCAGGTGTGCTCCATCCTTCAGGTTAGGTCAGGTGAAGCCGTGAGGTCAGGTCAGGTTTGGTCAGATCCCGCCACACTAGTATTGCTGTGTTTTTAAGAACATAAGAACATAAGAATGGAGGAACTTCAGGGGCTTATTGGCCCATTTACTGGGCAGTTCCTGTTTACACCTTAACCCTATTGCTCATATGA